TCCTGTTGACTTCATGTTTAAACATGAGTTTCACAGAGTTTGGTACTGCAATTTAAGAGCAATTGTGCATTTAAGCATCATTTGGTAGCCACAGGAGACCAGGAACAGCAGGCCTAACAACCTCAAAATTGCAAATTAGCACATGTGTAGATTGGCTATGTACCCAATATAGGAATCAAGCATCATAATCATTAGTGTCTTTACTAAGGTATGGTACAAGAGAACAAAACAACAACATAATAATTACAAATGTAATAATATTAGTGCACAACCCAGTAAATAATTGAGTTGTGATAGGAGCATGGTATTTACATTCAAAATAATTTAAATAAGAGGTAACCTGGAATTCTCAGTTAAATAAGAGTAGGGAAGAACAACCAGATTCGACACAAACACAGAAATCAAATAAAAGCTCTTTAAAAAGGGTTTAAAGACTACAGAGACAAAGGGAGGAAGGGAATTGATTCTGGAGTCATGGGGTCAGGTTCATCAAGACCCAGAAGCTGGAGACCAAGACTCCTGGAGCAAGAAAACAATGGTGTAAAAATGAATAGAATTGTAGGAAGAAATAAGAGTAGACTGATAAGGGTGGGGTAGAGTGGGTGACCATACACTCCAAACACACAGACATACCAGTATTTAAACAAGGCTGTGATCTGAATAGGAACCAGTAAAGAATCCTATGCTGTACCGAGACATAAGCCTAATGTGAAAGTCCAGAACAGTCCAAACAGCAGTAATAATTTGTAATAGTCTCCTGGCAATTATTCTCGATGTCAATATGAGATAACCATGTACCAGTTATGCCATGGTCTTTTCCATCAGAAATCCTCAAATGTAATGAATATTCATCAAGTTAAAATGAGTAACCCTAACTGTAAAATCAGTACATGGGTATAAAGTCATCCATCAAACCCCAAGGGTGCTACTGAAGAAAACTACAGCAGTTTGGGAGCTCTGAAGAAAAATATGAAGAAGACTCAGAATCAGATCAAAACACAACAGTCTCAATCTTGTTTCTATTCACCTTAAGGTGGTGGAAGAACATCCAAAAGAAAATGCTACTGAGACATTGCTGTAACCTAACTATGCATTGTCATCAAAGATTCATAAGACTTGAGTATCATCAGAACAATACACTCCCCTCTCAAAGGACCATCACTTGACCCAAGTAATTTGGACAATTTTTGTCCAGTGTCCAATCTTCCCTTTCCAGGGAAAGTGGTGGAAAGAGAGTTGCAAGGCAGCTTCCGAGAATTCTGGAAGAAGCAAATTACCTAAACCCCTTTCAGTTGAGGTTCATACTGGGATTTGGAACTGAGACAAAAGCAATCACACCCATCCCACTCCTGCCAGAACCATCCATGGGTGTGATTGCTTCTGTCTCAGTTCCAAATCCATCCTGGCTCTTCTTGACCCACCAGCAGCATTTGATACCATCAATCATGGTATCCTTCCGGGGCGGCTACAGGAATTGGAGGTGGGCAGCACTGTATTGTACTGTTTTTTCTTTCTCCAGGCTAGTTCCAGACAGTGTTAATAAACCAAGAGAGATCCACCCCACAGCCCCTACTTTGTGGAGAGTCTCAAGAGTTTAGTTCTCTGTCCTCTTATATTTTACATTCATATGAGGCCACTGGGTGAGGTAATGCATCAGTCTGTGGTAAGATATTATCAATATGCAGATGACACCAAGATATACTATATATGTCTACCCCAGGCCCCTTGAGTGATGCCATGGACATCCCATCCCAATGTCTGGAGGCTATTGGGGACTAAATGGGGCAAAACAGGCTCCAACTCAATCTTAGCAAGACAGAGTGGCTGCGGGTATTTGGACCCTCCAGAAATAAGGTTCTTCCATCTTTAGTTCTGAATGAGGGTTGCACTACTTTTCATGGTGTGCCAGTTACACACATTATTGGAGCAGCAGGCCCTTCTCACAGTGAATCATGTCCTTGTAACCGCTCATTGACTACTGCATCACACTCTGCATGAGGCTGTCCTGAAAAGCAATCAGAAACTTCAACTGATGCAAAATGTGGCTGTGTTGAGTAGTAAACGGTGCCAAATATACAGCACATGCAACATCACTGTGACGGGAGCTGCATTGGTTACTCATATGTTTCCAGGTGCACTTCAAGGGACTGGTTGTCTACTTACATGGCTTGGGACTACATTACCTGAGGGAATCACCTTTTTCCAAAAGGAAAGGGAAGATTGGAGACTATCAAACTTGATCTGGTAGAATGAGCATGCTGCAGAGCCCATCAGCTGTGATGCTGGCAGGGACTCCAAGACGGGCTTTTTCTGCAGTAACCCTGCCTTACAGAATATCCCCCCCCCCCTTGGAGATTAGAATGGCCCCAACCTTGCTGACTTTTCGTAAAGCTCTAAAAACCTGGCTGTGTTCCAGAGCCTGGGATGCTGAAATGTGCTAAGGATCCTGTTCCTGGCTTTATTGTTAACTGGCCAAGTATCTTGGTTGCTATGCATATTTATTTTGAATATGTTTATTTAGATTACTATTGTTTTTATTGTTTAAAAATGTTTTTATTGTTTTAATTGTGTAGTTTTTGAATTGTAAGCCACCCAGACTCATTGACTGAGGTGGGCGTGTATAGAAATTGAATAAATAAATAAATAAAAATGATATGGGAAGCCCATGAATCAGGAGAAAAAATGCTAAGACTGATCCCGAGAGACAACTACTACAAGGGGACACCCCTGGGACTCTTCATACATAGTAAAGAAATACAGATCACCACTCTTCCATTTCCTAAACCAACAATCTAGAAAAACAAGTCCACACTAAACATTTTTCTGAAATTATTTTATGTGAAGAGAATAACAGTTGTACTAGATAAATGCAAAAGAAAATAAACTGTAAAAGCAGAGGAAAATATGAATCTGATGAATCCAAGTTCTTAACAGCAATGATTAAGTCTCATGTAAAGCAGGTGTTTAATAGTTATTTGATGATATAATGCTGTCAAGAAGCACATTTAATAAGTACTGAAAAGATGAGAATCTCATCATGAGGCGTACTAAAAAACAGGTTTGGTGGAATATCCTTATCTTCAGCATCTTTCTAATGCTGCAGTTAAAACATTTCAATATTAACTTTATTAAGACATGCAGTACCTTTCAGTGAAGAGCAGTAATTCAATTTCTGCATACAATAATTGCACAAAATGTTTATTATATTAGAAAATTATATTTGTTCAATATGTTTATCTGTTAAACCAGAGGCGTCCAACCTTGGCATCTTTAAGGTGTGTGAACTTCATCTCCAGAATCTCTCATGGCTGGTTGGGGAATTCTGGGAGGTGAATTCCACAGGGCTTAAAGTTGCCAAGGTTGGACACCCCTGTGTTAAATATTATTTAAATTAAAAAGATTTTGAATGCATTAAAAACTTAAGCATATTTTTCCCAAGAAAAATATCAATAACTTAAATAACTGTATTCATAATAGGAATAAAATAGGGGGGGTGTTCCATATATTTTAAAGGTCTCAGGCAGATTTATACAAATTGTTCAAGGAAGATTATTTAAAACAGCCACAATACTGGCATAAGATTACTGTTCAGTTCTTCGGTGTTATCGATTTTAGTTTTTAGATTGGTATTTAGAATGGAGCAATTTGATGTTTCTTCAAAATCTAGTATTACAGAGGACAGTGAGGAAACACTAAGCAGCTAAATACATACAGGTAGTCCTCGATGTAAAACCATTCATTTAGTGACCATTCAAAATTACAGTGGCACTGAAAAAGTGACTTATGTTTTTCACACTTGTGATCCTTGCAGCATCCCCATGGTCACATGATCAAAATTCAAAGACACTTGATAACTGACTCTTATTTATGACAACTGCACTATTCCCAGGTCAGAAGGTTTTGCAACCTGAAAGTCTTCCCATTCACATTCCCAGACAATGAAGACCCACCCATCTTTATAGTAGGAAGTAAATTCATAGTATTATACAGACATGTGTAATTAGTTAGAACGACAAAGTTGCTCCACTTCTTTTACATAGAATGCTACTGCTGAGCATATCATTAGAAGCAAAATACTGTTAATTTCCAAATAAAACTGTCAAACACTACCTTCAGAGGAAGCCAATTTAGAACTCCTGACTACAAAAGGAAACTCACTGGCTTTGACAACTCCCAAAACACTTAGAGTACATCAGCTTTACAAAGACAACTTCACCTCCATGCCTTTTTCCCAGATACTTTATTGCACAATTATTTCACCAAAGGAAAGGAAACAGCCAGAGGCTGTTATGGGTAAGCCTCAGATGTGTCAAGAAATAAACACCAGAAAGAAAAGGAGTATCTCCATGGCACACTTACACTCCCAGGGGAAGACAGGTGTGAGAGACTGAACAAGCTGATCCTGACCGGAGGAGAACTTCAGTAGAAAAAATAGGGTTCTGTGAGGGGCCAAAGGGCTGCTCTTGAGTCTTTCACGTGTCCTGGCCATTTCCGTTTGACAGCTCCCAGGTTGTCAGAACAGAGGGAAATGGGCATCCCACGAAAACCCGGAATCCCAGCTGCGCTTCTGAGAAGCTGCGCTTCCCTCCCTGATTCCAGAGGAAAGTAGGGGATGCTTAGCCAAGCGATGTGGCTGCTCGGCCGAGGCTTCGGAGACCAGGTGAGCCGCCAGGTGAGCAAGGAGGACGCCTTTCTTAAAGAGGAACGAGGGGCCCGGGTGAAGTTGGTCCTCCCCTTCGCCGGGGAAAGGAGACCTACCAAGCCACGGGCAGGGAAATTCAATGGAAGGAGCCCCCACCCCCACCCCTACCCCACGCAGCTACAAAGGCAGGAGACTCCCGGGAAGCTGCAACCTCCGCTCCCCTGAATTTTGCACGGCAGAAGCGCCGCGCTCCTCGGGAGCGAGCTGTCATCGCTCCGGCGCTGCAAATAGGGAAGACCGACGGTTTTCGGGCTTCGCGACGGATGCGGCACCTCGGCCTCGCCCCCCTGGCGCTCACCTCAAGGTGGGTCCCACACAGGCCGTCTCCGTACTCTCAATCTCCTGCAGGATCCGCTCATGCTCCGGCAAGCTCTCCGCCATCTTGCATGGGAGGGGAGGGAGGAAGGGAGACGGAGAGACAGCCAAGAGGGCGGGGAGGGGGCGGGGCCATCCGTTGCGGACTCGAAGCGAGCGAATCAGCGCGGAGGGCGGGCGCCCGCGACCTTCAGAACGGCTGACGGCCTCCAGATGTGTCAAACTACAACTCCCATGCTCCTGGTAGTCCGGAACACTGGGGGGGGGGGTGTTCAATCTATGTTCTAAGAGAACCTTGCATACCTAAAAGTATGCAAACTCTTTTTATGCATTTTTTTCCTTTGGCGTGAAAAGGGAATAGTGTATCATAACGCTGTTTCTCAACCTTGGCAGCTTTAAGCTCTCTAGACTCCAACTCCCAGAATTCCCCAGCCAGTTGAAGTTCACACATCTTAAAGTTGCCAAGGTTGAGGCGCCCTGGTATGAAGAATCATGCTCTGTTCTTTTCTGGTGTAAGAGTAGCTTTTAAAGAAAGCCAAAGGCAGGCAAGGTTTAAAAATTACAAGAGAAATCCGCAGTTGGCCAAATGTTGCTGACGTTCCAGAGACTTGGAGCATAATGCAACACCAGGATAGCCGAAGGTTTTCTACCTTCTGGTTAAATGTTACCAGACAATGTTGCACCAGCCTCACCTGAACATGCCTGAGTTCCTGCAAAATGATAAAGTAATTAAAATATTGGAAATACTTTTTTTTTTAAAAAAAAATGAGATTCTTTTAATTTTGAGACAGCAGCATCTTCTTTTGAAGGAGAAATGTGTTCTTAAAAAAAGGAAATATAATTATTTTTCTCCTAAGAATCTGTATTTTCTGAACATGACCAAATATACTATATGTGCACATTATAACCAAGATGTATGGCAGAAGTTGGCAGGCCCCCAGGTGGATTTTTTTTAATTACGGTATATACTGTAAAGGAGTGAGAGATAAACTGAGTCAATTGTGACTTCTGATGACTCCATGCATATCGGTATGTTCACTTAGTTTTGGAGTGATAATATGGAAACCCCTGACCTTTGCTTTCGTCAGGAGTGTCCAGAAGATGTGGTCAAAAAAGTCAAGGCAGCAGTCCTCCACTGTGATCAAACTCTGCCTGTTTTTTATGTACATGGCCTACATAAAAAACTGGCAAAGCTTGATAGGACGACAGCGGTAAGGTGTTTTATGCCCTAAGATGGAAAGAAAAATATATACATACAATGGAAGAATGGATTTAGAAATTAATGGAGCTAAATGAGATAGCAAAATTTCATGCTACCAAGAGACCATTAACAGATTTATTACCGGATAAAGAGAAGAATCAACTTTTGAGTCTGGGTTTTGAAGATTAGAATAAAATTGACTAGAGAAATATTGTAGCTTTTTAAATATAAGGTTATATACGTTTGATACTTTATTCTTTTAGATGAAATTAACAGAAGAACATTTTATGAATACTGACTTTTAGTAAGTTGACTATTAGTATTTTAAAATATTTTATATATTAGTGTTATTTATTTAAAATTAGGAAGAGCTGGTTGTATTGTTAACATATCTGTCCTAAAAGAAAGTCGCTCAGCTTTGTTATATTTGTTAAACTTTTTTTTGCATTTTTAATGTGTTTTATCATTCCTTTTGTTTTTTATGATAGTTTGGAATATAATGTATGATGTTGAAACTCAATAAAGATACTTTAAAAAACAGGAAGTACTACAGTTGCACCATCATTGCCACCATCTTGATTTATTTTTACCTTACCCTATGGAAATACCTGGCTGTTTTTGTCAACTTTTTTTTTTAATTTCCCAAAATAGCCTGTGACTCTGAAACCCAAAGTACAGCATACCCGCTGCTTGCACAGCCTGATAACCAATGGGCCATGGACCGGTACCGGCCCATGGGCCAGGGTTAGGGACCTCTGCAACACAATATACAGCAATCATTTTTGAACCAAGGTACCTAAAATCCTCCAACTTAAAGAATGCATAAAAAGATCCAGGATCCATTATACTCCTGTGGAAATGAAATTTCCATGAAGTTCGTATCAGTTTTATTCACAAAATGGTGGTCATGGCAGTGTCCCTGCAGTCACATGACCATGATTTCTGACACTCTTCCAGCTTCCCAAAAGCAAAATCAATGGGGAAGCCTATTCCACCTATGTGTTTAGGTAAGTAAATATAGACTTCACATTGAAGTTTGTTTGCTACTACAATTATTTTGCTATGCATGATATATACTCTTTTTAGGTGATCATGCGACCTTACAGCATTGGAGTAAAAAAAAAAAAAGGTCAGCCTAAAATGTAATGTTCATTCTGGTTACATGAGACTGCACTACTTTTCTCTCAAAGGATGACCAAACAGGTCACAGGGCTGCCTAGTATTAACTAAAAGGAGACTCGGGAAGGGGAGGAACTCTGCTGTGAGAGTCAAACCTCAAATATATGGTATAAGGGCAGAAAGGAATGGTGATCAGTGATGGTGGCATTTCTCTACAGTTCTACTTGAGCCAGCCTTCCCACCAAGGAGCTCTTGTTTGAATGACCAATTGTACCTCTTGTTCCTTTGACCAATGAAAACGGATATGGATAGGCCAGGAGGAGCTGGCATATCTACCTGGCAGATAAGCTGCAGCTGGTCCTCCAATATAAGGGCCAAGCTGGTCTCTTTCCTGTAATGATGTTCTTCCTAAGACCTTTGTCCTCTACCAATGGATGAAGCAGAATGTGCTTCCTTTCAACTTTCCAGTCTCAATTTTTGTTTTATTTCATATTAGAATGGTATAAAGGTGGATAAACAAACAATATGAAATACTTATTATCTACATATATGATTTCCAATTTTGTAAGTATTGTGAGATAGAAACCTTGCAAATAAGTTTTTACAACCCAACTATGACAACTTGGCTTGAATTTTACCTGGTTCTGTCCAGATGAGAAAAGTGAGAACAGAAGGAAACTATTAAAATGAAGAAAGTATAAACCCAAAAAGTTTCTTCTTTCAATAATGAAAAGCAGAGCCACTGCTTGGTATAGCTGCAACAAAACTTGGTTTGATGAGAATTAAAATGATTAAAATTCTTTCGCCCCTTATTCATATTATAAGATTTTGTATATTGTTACAAGAGGAAAATTCCCCAGGACCATGACTTTGAATAAGTATATTTTCTCTAGTAAACTGATACTTAAAGTAACACTATGCTATTTTAAAATAGTCGGTCAGGTGCTAAAAATAAACTTGAGGGTCATGCCTTGCAATTTAACATATAAAATGACCGTGAAAACATAAATATTTCTTATTTATTTTAGGCTGCTGAATCTTGACATATAAGTTTGCTATTATGAATATCAGAGAATTCTGTACTTTATTCCATGAGTTATATAATTAACAGCAGACAAAACTTCTAATAAAAAAGGATTATGTGCAGGGAGTGGGGTGATTCAAAATAACAAAAAAACCATAATTGGACTTTCATATACTTCAATCCCACCACAATCTGCCATCAGCAAAACTGGCTCAAAAGAGAAAGCCAAATAAAGTCTCAGTGATGAAAGAACAGTCTTTTAAATTAATTAAACAGCAGTGTCCTGAACATAATGAGAGAAATGTAATTCACTGTAGCCAAGCACTATGTTGCAATTTTGAGGTATAGTTTTGAATTAGCTACTTTAGAAACAAGTCTAACCCCCACTGAGGTTAGTAGAATGGTGCAATAGCTCTGCATTTTGTAAGAAGAATAAATGAACAAACAAATAAAGCAAAAACTGGAAAAAGGAATCAATAGAATAAAAGTGTTCTTTACAGTATAGTACTTACCCTAAAGTGATTCCTAAAGGCAGCTCCAGGTATTTAATCTCACCAAGGACAGTTTCATATACATTATCTTTGTTTTCCTCCAGATTAAATCCTTGTAGATTGGTGCTTGTTGCCATAATCAAGTATTAAATTGTTCCAACCAGTAGGTGAAGATTTTCTCTTTTTTTAATATCACAACATCAGCAAGGGAAAACAGACCTTGGTATGACTTGGTAGTCCTATAGACTTTCTCTTATTCACCAATGTGAGCGGCACAGCTGTTGTTTCTATTTCCTGGCTGGTAACCTTTGGGAACCTGGCCCTGAGCTCAAAACCTCTCTGCAGCCAAATCTGATACTTGCTTTAAAAGAAAATAGAATGCATCCATTAAAATAGTAGATATTTATAGAAAGTTGTGTATCAGTAAAATGGAAGAGTTTGTGTGTTTAGGAGGAAACAGCTGTTGGTTTAAAAGTAATTTACACTTTTAACTTCTGGATAAGTTCTGATTCTTCAATTAGATAATGTCACTTTTTTTAGCTTTATCCACTAGCTTCAGAGAAAGTCCACACAAATAAAGAAAAGTGATTATTTAAAAAATATGCAATTGTTGGCAGTCCTGCCACCAATAGGAGGAGCTGGAGATCTCAGGTGCAGCTTCTTGCCTTTAAAAAAAAAAGGAGGCGGGGAATTCCATAAGATCATAAAGTAAAAGTTAATGGCTTCCTTGAATTAAGTTCAATCTTTGATGACAACAGTAGGGGGAAAAGTGTACTTTTGAATATTTTCTGATTTTCCAATCTAGTCGACAGCCCCTTCTAGTCTCCTAATTCAAGGTCAAATCAACTACAGTTCTACACAGCCTTTAGTTCAGTCAAGATTGATAAAGTATTGCTATTTCCTGCTAGATTAAATGACTCTAAAATTACCTAAATGCATCACAAACTTGAGGTTTTATGTTTCTGCTACTCTTCAGAGTTAAAGCAAACATGCTTATTTGTTCCTTGATGTCTCACCCAAGTGGGAAAATATTTAATGAAATAGTCACAGTTTTGCAAAACTGTACATGCCAGCAGTATATTTACTGAGAAGTACCGTATTTCTAAAATAGTGAGAAACTAATGAAGGCTTACAGCAGCCTTCAGCTGTCTTAGCAGCTTAAGAGTCCATATGACCGGACTTTAACCTGGTTGAGGCCACTGAAGGGGGCTAAAGTTCGGAAATCTGTTTATTAATTTATTTG